CGAGTACTAGGATTATAGGCGTGCGCCACCATGTCCGGCTCAGCTGAGATCCTAATAAAAAGGGAGGGTGGGGTCAAAGATCCAAAATCAAGGGGAGGGAACAACAGTAACACGGGACACAAAGGAGTTGGGGGTTCCTGGGAATGGGGACCATTTGAGGAAATCTCCAAAGAGGAAATATCCTTTAAGAATCTGTCCTACCATGAATCCTCCTACTCCCTCCCTTCAGAATGTCAGGGCTGTCACCTCTCCTCGGTGGGGATCGGTGATGCGGGTCAGGCGAAGGTCACTCTGCTGCCAGCTGGGGTTGACACTGTAGCCCTGCAGCTGCCACAATTCAAAAGAAGCATGGAAGGCCTTGGAGTGAATCTTGATAGTGATGGAGTTGACGATGATGAACATCCCCTCCACCACCTTCTCAGCAAAGCCGTATTCACTGCAACAAAGCAGGGGCAGAGGGTCAGAATCACGGGAGGTTTCACGCGCAGCCTTCACACACAAACCAAGCTACTGGGTGTGAGGAGTGTGAGTGCTTCTCTCTCTCTCTCTCTTTTATGGCTTTCATTTTTTTAGATTTCGAAATGTCCTTTAGTGATGATAAAGTACCATCTTTAATGGGAATTTTTCTAGCAATGGAATAAAGAGAAAGAGTTGATCTGGAAACGTCCTCCCTCCTATTAGAAAGAATAAACTGATAAATCTATTTATAGCTTATAAACTATCTGAATCAATATTTAGGTGTTACAGGAGGGGGAATGTATAACTACAGAAAGAATCACTGGATCTCTAGAAAATCTCCAAAGACAGAAAATACTCTGCCAAAGGAGTGGAAGGATGAAAGAAGGACAGCCAGGCGAGGCAGAGGTTTAATGCTGCAAAATCTGCTCAAGGACTCTGCCAACACTTCCCAAAGAGCCACAGGAGAAGCCACAGCTGGCACAGGAGAGGAGTGAAGAACATCTTAAAGTCCCTCTGGATGTGGAAAAGCACGTTCGTGAGATGCAGGTGCAATCATTTCTCTTGTTTTGTTTTGTTTTGTTTTGTTTTTCCAGTACTGGGAATCAAACTCAATGAGCTAAATCCCCAGCACCCCCAATTTTTTTTTTTGGTACTGGGAATCAAACTTAGGACCTTGCATTTTTGCCAGGTAGGCACTTTTGCCACTGAGCTATATCCCCGGCCCCATTTCTTGTTACAAGAAGTAAAAGAGAAACCTGGAAATTTAAACTGAAAAAAGGGTATACACACACACACACACACACACACACACATAGGTAATTTATTTTAAAAAGAACTAAAAGAAACAGAGTCCAACAACAACAAAAAAAAATGGGTGACAATGAGTACAGCTTACTAAAAAATAAAGGCAAACAGCTACTAAACATAAAATGAGGCTAAGCCTCACGTGAAATGCTGCTGAGAAACCCCTGATTTATGACAAAGGCAGCTGTGCAATGGGGAAAAGATCTCTGCAGTAAACGCTGCGTGGTCAACTTGGAGAGATGTGTAAAGAGAAAAATGATACTAACCCTATTTCTCATCCAATTTAAAACTTAGTTTCAATATAGATTGGAAATTTAAATGTGAAAAGTCAATAATGCTTTTAGAAGAAAACACGTCATGCCTTAAGGTGGGGGGCGGCGGGGGGAGATTCCCTGAGCAAGAAACAGGAAGTGCTAAGCACAAAGGGAAAAAAGATACTGGACTACATCAGAATTAGTAATTTTTGTTCAACAAAACAATAACACTGATAAGAAAGGCTGGAGCTGGAGCTCAGTGCGGTATGTGCTTAACATGCTTGAGGGCTGGAATTCAATCCCCAGCACTGAAAAAAAAAGAAGTGAGGTTTCAGGTGCAGCTCAGGGGTGGGCCACATGCTTAGCATGCAAGAGGCCCTGGGTTTCTTCTCTAACACAACAACCAAATAAAGAGAAAAGGAATAGGAAACCCAGAGTAAAAGATATCTGCATTACATGTATCTAGCCAGGGACTTGTTTCTGGAATAAATAAAGAACCTCTACAAAACTAGTAAGAAAAGGACAACCCCAAATGAAAGAGGAAAACATATAGGTGCTTTATGAGAGAATATCCAAAATTCAATAAAATAAATTCAAACCAATAAAACTGGTTTTCAATAAACCAATGAACATAAAAATGCAAATTAAAACCACAGTGTGATCCAAGTACACAGCCACCAGAATCACTAAAATAACAGACAGACAGTACCAGCTGTCAGCAAGAACATGGGGAGATGGGTCATGAGAGAGGACAGTGCCACATAGTAACACTATATTTCATAGCCAGAAACTAGACATTATAACAGAATGGACTTAACATTATTCAGGCATAAAAGGGAGTAAAGTACTGCTTGCTGGATGAGACAGCATGGTTACACCCTGACCATGTTTAACTGAAAGAAGCCCATCGCAAAAGACCCCGTAGTGTATGGTTCCATTTATATCCAACATGCAGAACTGACACAGAAAGCAGACTGGTGGTTGTACTACGGCAAGGAACCGTGCAGTGACTGCTAATGGACGTAGGATTTCTTCTCGGGTGATGAAAATGTTCTAAGAGCAGGTAAAACATAAATTAGGTAGTCAAAACATAAATTTCAAACAATTTAAAAACAAATTGAAAGAAATAAATCTTCTCTATGTTAAACTGGTACTCAACCAAAACAGGAATGGTTTCAAGTGACCTTAAAACATGGTATTTTTGCCAGGTATGGTGGCGCACGCCTGTAATCCCAGGAGGATCGTCACAAGTTCGAGGCCAGCCTGGGCTACAAAGTGAGCTCACAGCCAGCCTAAAATGCATAGCGAAACTTGGTCTCAAAACAAAACAAAAAACCACAAAAGCAAAAACATGGTCGGGCATGGTGACGCACACCTGTATTCCTAGCACTCAGGAGGCTGAGGCAGGAGGATCATTGTGAGTTCGAGACCAGCCTAGGCTACAAAGTGAGCTCAACACCAGCCTGAACTGCCTAGCAAGACCCTGTCTTAAAAAGACAAAAAAAATAAAAATAAAAAAAATCAAAACATGGTATTCTTAACACACATCCCTAATGTGATACAGTATAAGGGAAATTCCTCAGCCAGGTATGACAACACACACCTGTAATCCTAGCACTTGGGAGGCTCAGGCAGGATTGCTGGGAGTTCGAGGCCAGCCTGGGCTGCATAGTGAGTTCAAGGCCAGCCTGAACTGCACAGCAGGACCCTGTCTCCAAAAAAAACAACAAAATGCAAACTAAAAAAAAGAGAAAAAGTCTTTAGAAAAATTATTTCCTGCAAAGAATAAATTGTGTATTAAAAAGTATGTGTGTATGCTTTGGGTGAGAGGTATGGCACCATGTGTGTGTATGTGTGTGTGTGTGTGTATGTGTGCACGCGCACGTGTGTGCGTGCGCTGTTTAGGGTTCAGGCAATGAATCAGTGGTAAAGCACCCACCTCGCAAGTACAAGACCCTGGGTTCAATCCCTAGCACTGTGCACAGAACAGAAAGTGTGTGTGTTGTGGGGATATATTAAAGAGCTTTCACACATGCATGACTTCAATGTAATGTGTGGACCTCTTTTGATACACACTGCCCTGTTAAATATATTTCTTTCCAGTACTGGGGATGGAACCCAGGGACTCACATATGCTAGCCAGAAAGCCCTTTATAATTAAACTACATTGAGCCATGGATATAGCTCAGTGGTACAAGCACCTGCCTGGCACGTACAAAGTCCTGAGTTCAATTCCTGATATAAAAAAAAAATAAGATAAAATAATAATTAAACTATATCCTCAGCCCAAAAAAATATTTAAGAGAATATTTTAATATTCTCTTAAGAAAACTGATCATATTCTTAAGAAAACTGATCATAGCTAGGTATTATGGTGCATATGTCTGCACTTGGGAGGCTAAGGCAGGAGGATCACTGCCAGTTTGAGGCCAGCCTGGGCTACAAAGTGAGCTCAAGGCCAGCCTGAACTGCATAGTGAGAACTTTCTCTCAAAAAGACAAAAAAAGGAAAAGAAAAGAAAGCTGATCATAAAATAGGATAGGTTACGTTATGTAATTCTTGTTAATTCTACTACATGTGATAGCTTTTTTTTCTTTTTTTTGCCAATCCTTGTATGTAAGGACACATGAAATGACAGTATTTACAGGTGGAATCATATAGCATCTGGGATTTGCTTTCAAGTACTGCCATGCACACAAACACAAAGTGGCGGAACAAGATGAAAAAAAAAATGGCAAAATATTGATAGTTGTTGGTTAGATCTTGGGGGCATGGGGTTCATTAATTATTTTCTCTCTGTTTGAAATTTTCTGACATTTTTTAACTGTAAAGGTGACCTGGAATAGGAGATGTGTTGTAATTAACAGAGCTCAAAGCAACCAACCTCTGTCCTGAAGCCAGGGCAATGGGAGACTGTCCATTGGGGGGCCGAGGCTCCTCACAGGTCTTCATCTCCACCTCGACCTTATCCAGGCACTGGAAGAAAAGCCAGACAGAGCTAAGTGTCTGCACAAAAACCGCATGGCACAGAGGGAGACAGCAGACTGTGCACTGATAATCACCCAGTAGTCAACACAAACTAATTTTGTGTGTGTGTGTGAGAGATACTGGGGATTGAAATCAGAGCTTTCATTCTAAGCTACATGTCCCAGCCTTTCTCATTTGAAACAGGGTCTTGCCAAGTTGTTAAACTGCCCAAGCTGCGCTCAGCTTCCTACCTCATCCTCCCAGAGAGCAGGGATTACAGGCATGCAGTACTAGGCCCAGCTACAAACTAAACTTCTTTTACTGTCAGGATTCCAAGCATTATTGCTGTGTCTACATGTCCCCCCAAAGACTCATGCAGTCACAGGTGGGGCTTTTTCAGAGATGGCTGAGTCTGGAGTGTGTGACTGATTCATGGTGCAATGCTAGGATTAAGGGTGCTGGGATGAAGGGTGGGTGCTACTAAATCAGTCCAATGATTGGTTTGGTACTGCCCTAATCCTGGTAGCCAGGATACAATATAAGGCAGACAAGGAGGCTTATCTTGCCCCTTGCTTGCTTTGCTACCTTCTGCCTGCCATGAACTGTTTCTCCTCTGTGATGGCCCTCTGTCAAGCCACCATGTCTTGGAGCCAGGTGATTTTAGACTGAAATCTACAAAGTGTGAGCCAAATAAATCTTTCTTCCCCTAACTTTGGGCATCAGGTATTTTGTCTCAGCAATGAAAAAAAAAAAAAAAAACTAAGACATCAAGTGAAACGAAGTCCTAAGGATAGAGCAGCAAAAATTGACATAAAGCATAAAACACATCTCAAGAGTCCTGGGTCTTGTCTCTCAGTGCTAATTCCTTTGCTGCACAGAAGTTCCAGAATAAGCCCAGACAGTAGTCACTCTATCTCAGAGAAAAGTTTACAGGGCCATACAGGAGGCTGGGTGTGCTGGCACACGCTGTGGCAGGAGGGTCACTATGAGTCAGAGGCCAGCCTGGGTTACATAATAAGTTCAAGGCCAGCATGAATTACGTGGCAAATCCTGTCTCAAAAAAAAAAAAAAAAAAAAAGTACCCACCACTCCCAAAAGGGTCAGCTTTTGGTTTTGGATTACTTGCAAGCAAGAGAGGCCATTACCAAGCAAATTGGGTGTGTCTTCAACTTCGTCCATTGGATCTGAAAGAGGGAAGCAAAGACTTAGGGCTGTGGAGCTGCCCTGCAGAAAGGCAGGCCTGCTGGCCAAGGACAGCAGCACAGCTCCGACCCCGTTCTCACCCGGATGGAGGCCCTGTTGCAGTAGACCCGAGTGATGGCTAACCAGGTAGGTAGCTCCAGCACGTTCTGCAGAACCTCTTCATCCAACTCCAGGTTGGTCAACTGGCCCTCCCCTTTCAGAGTGCTCAGGTTGATTTTGTCCGGAGAAAGATTCTTAGTGAACCTGAAGGGTAATGAGAAGAAGTTATTTCCATGGGCATCTGCTAAATGAACATTATAATCAGTAATACTCCTGGATTTGGAAAAAGAGAAAGGTAAAGAACAGATGCTAACTGATGAGTCTACACCATGTGAGATGCTGAGATTTATCATTCTACTTATGACTGTCACAGTTCTACAGTGGGGACTCTACAAAAATAGCTGTAGCAGTGGCAACATAACCTTTTGATATTTCTGGATCTCCACATAAAAATAGGGATTTGGTCGTGGTGGTACGTGCCTGTGTTCCAGCACTCTGGGAGGCTGAGGCAGAATGGTTGGAAGTTCAAGCCCAGCCTGGGCAACTTAGCAACTGAGCGAGACCCAGTCTCAAATTTTAAAAAGGGTTGGGGATGTATCTTAGTGGAAAGGCTTTGGGTTCTAAACAGCAACAGAAAAAGTCCACAGATAACATTTAAAAGAAAACCAGAGACAAAGTATCCTCATAAACCCCCATATACAAGCAGGTGGACACAAAATATCAAGAGCACCAAGACACATGCCAGTTGTGGCCGAGGCCATCCACCATGATTTCAAGGTCAGCCTGGGCTACAGAGTGTCTCAAAAAAGAAAAAAGAAAAAAAGCTACATGTAGCTGTGGAGAACAAAGCAGAGGAAGAGAAGGGGCATCTGAGGAGGTTGAGAAAGGAATAATCCCAAGATAACCAAATAAGTACTCAAAGAACAGCAATGTGGACCAACTGGAGAGGGGCAACTACACTGGAAGGGTTTGTTCACTGCAGGCGCCCCTGGTGAGGTTCCAGGGAATGGGGACAGCATAGCCTTAAACTAATGAAACCAACCCTCCACAGCCCATCTATGCCTAGGAAAGGTCCTCATTGGATAACTGAGCAAGACAGCAATGACAGAAATGAAGTAAAGAGATACAAGTAGGGATGGGGGAAGAGACCAGGATATTTGAGAAAGCAAACCGTTACATTTTGTAAACCCTACTTGAAGCAAAAGAAGAGGGAGCCCTATGAGGTTAGGATCCAAGCTATAACAAACTAATTCTTGGCTTATTAGGAGGGAAAATAAAATCCCTCACCCTCCCACACGCCTTTTTTGCTGTGGTCAAAGAACAAACTATCAGCTACACAGTCCTCCCAAAGGGACAGATCCTGCTTGTCATCGGGCCACTGGGGAAACGTGCAATGTGAAGAAAACACAATGGTCCAAGGCAAACTACACAGCTACACCAGGCCAGTACCATCAACAGAATCTAGACTGTGGGGGCCTGTAAGCCAACCGCGACTCAAACGGCTTACACAGGCCACAGGCCAGGGTGCCCGTCACCCTCGCTGCTCCGGGCCCACTCGCGTGCCCACACCCCACCCCAGGCAGTACCCTCCTCACTGGGTCTCCCGCTGCCTGGCTGCTGCAGCACACAGTGAGCTCTTTTCTTCTCCACTCTGGCCCTGGCTGCACACACTTGGGTTCACTAATTCCCGACGGATAACCAGCCCTGTGCAGTTAGATGTTAAGCTGAGATTCAGGGCTTCCTTTAGACGGTCTTCCCAGTCAAAATCGCTACCTGACAGGACGCTGGGCCTTCACCTAAAGTCATTCACTACCCTTTAAAATTGTCACATGCCACACCCCCCTCACAGAGAAGGGTATGTGAGCACCTGCACCTCGTTAGCTTACAGAGCTACAGTGCACTCACCTTCCTGTGATCTTCTCCCGTGCATGAAAACACATTTGACACCTTTTTTCCCATTAATCTCATTGCCAGTTCATTCCAGCAAAATTCAGAGAGACGGGGGGGGGGGGTGTTTTCCCCTTATCTCACAACAGGGTAAAATAAAATCCCAAACCTCCACACAAACGTCCACTGATTTAGTTCATTTAAGACCCCCCACCTCAGTGCTGGGGAACAAACCAGGGCCTTGTATGCTAAGTGCTCTACCTCTGAGCTACATCCCCAGCTCTTTTTGAGGCAGAGTCTCACTAAAGAAAGAAAAAAAGAGTTTTCAACTTCTCAATGAGTTGGTGGTTAAGGACACATGCTTCAGTTCAAAACCTAGCTCTATGACTTCCAGTGCTGTGACTTTAGGGAAACAATCTCACAGGACTGTTGGGGCACTTAAAAGAGCTAACATAGGGGCTGGGGATTTAGCTCAGTGGCACAGCGCCCGCCTGGCAAGCGCAAGATCATGAGTTTGATTCCCGGTACCAGAAAAAAATCAAAAAAAAAGAGCTAACATACATTAAGTTACTGGCATTTAATAAATACTGAAAATATAAAGAATGAGTAATTGTTATTTATGAATCCCACTGCTCTCTCCTTCTAGAAGAGGCTTAAATTATTATCTTTTAATGGTTTTTTTGGCACCGGGAATCGAACTCAGGACCTTGCACTTGCCAGGCAGGTGCTTGTGCCACTGAGCTATATCCCCAGTTCAAATTATTATTTAAAAAAAAAAAAAAAAAAAAGCTTTAGAAGGCTTAGAGTGTTATCTCAGGACTCAGGTTGTCTTAAAGAGGCATCCCCACGACCTATCTTTGCTACCTCATCCTCCACTTTCCTTTTTTTTGAGACAGGGTCTCACTATGTAGTAGTTCAAGCTGGCCAGCCTCGAGCTCATGGCAATCCTCCTGCCTCTGTCTCCTGAGTGCTGGGATTATAGGCATACAGCACCATGCATGGCCATCCTCCACTTTCAGTGCACCTATTTCTACCCTTTCTACCAGGTCCCCTGACACTGAAATGTCAACAAAGTTAAAGCTGTTCATGTTCCCGGAAAGCTTTCCCACTACAGCCCACTGCAGCTCGGCAAACAATTTTCATACTTTGATACTTACGGTTCACAAGAGAACAGCCAAGGAAAGGGAACAAAATTATCAATGAAGTTAGTCAAAATCAAGCTTGTATAGCCAAGACTAGCACAGGCCTACAGTCCTCCCTCCCCTGGGGAACTAGTTCCGGGAGCCCCCACCACCACCCAAATCCATGGGTGTTTGTATCAAATGGCATAATATTTGCAAATAAGCACAGTACATCCTCCCATGTACTTTAAACCACCTGTAGATTACTTATAATACCTAACATGACTGAAATGCTATGTAATTGTCAGGCTGTATTCTTTAGGAAACAATGACAAGAAAACAAGTCTGTACATAGTACAGACACATTTTTTTTAATAATTGCAATCTGGGGTTGGTTGAATCCCTGGACGCTGAGCCCACTGCTCTGGAGGGCTGACTATCGATGGTCACCAGCTCTCTCATTACCTAAACAGAGCAATAGCTCCAAGAGGTCAAACTCTGCCCATGAGGGAGAACAGCTAAACTGCAGCAATGTGATGAGGAAAGTGGCTACCCAAGTCCTCTTCAGCAGCCAGTCCAGTGCACAAGTAGCAACCAGATACTGAGTCTTTAGACAATCACACTGTACACTTCTCTTTCTATACGCCACAGCCCCAGCGCATGCTTCACTCGTATCTGCGTTCCTAACTGCGGATGGTATCACTCAGAGCCCAAGGGCGGCTAAAAAGGCTAATGGCAGCCTGTTATTTATTCCACTTCAAGTATGTGGGAAAACATTTTCTAGCCATCTGTTACTGTTACAAAGTGTCGAAGCTAAGATGAAATCAGATTGGAAAAACAGATTTTGATCAAGTTTAATCTCTGCCAGAGGACTGCAGTCTGCCAAAGACAAGAGAAAGGCTCTTAGACATCCTCGTGAAAATGCACCAGTGTTAGGAAGTGAGAATTCACAGATTTGCAGATTCTCAGAATGTCAGAGGTAGAAGGGACCTTAATCATTTATTCCAAATCTAGAATTCACACATGGGGAAACAAATGCCCAGAAAGTTAAATTGCCCAAAAGTCACAGCTAACCAGTGCTAAAGCTGAGTCTAAATAAATGACAGAGACGGGACATAATCTGGCATTCACTCAACTCTAAGTTGCAATAATCAAGTCTGCCTTCTATCCCATCAAAACTGAACCCTCATAGGGCAATTAAAAAGGCCCAAATACACGATGCCTCCTTCACTGACCTTTGTATTGAAGAGGTGATCAAAGCCCAGGCTTTAGCTTCCAAGCTTCCTACAGAAAACTACATCAAATTCACTTCACCACTCAACCACATCACGGGCTGGTCTTGAAGGAAAGATACAACACCACTCAGAAGCAGGTGGTTTAGACAGTAGGATCCCCTGCACCATCCAAACAAAACTAACATCTTGCATGTGGCTAACACTGTTCCAACCCAGATGATCTGAGAGAACATGCCACACTGTCCGGGAGGTTGGCCCTAACAGGTTTTACTCTAAAACCTTCTGCGGGAAATTAAGCCTTTCTTAGAAGAAAATTATTTCTAGACTTTTGGTCGTTCTTTACAGTGTTGTCTTTTTTAACTTGTTGTGATATTTGATTCACGCACAATCACTCTTTTCCCAATTATTTTGTTCACTTGATCTACTATAAACTTACACCAAGATCACACTGTCCTTATTACTGTAGCTTCTTTTAAAGTACTTAAGATAGGGGCTGGGGATTTAGCTCAGCGGCAAAAGCGCCTGCCTGGCAAGCACAAGGTCGTGAGTTCGGTTCCCGGTACCGGAGAAAAACCAAAAAATAAATAAATAAATAAATAAAAATAAAGTACTGAAGATAGGTAGTGTAAATCCTTTCATTTGTTCTTTTTAAAAGATTTTTCTGGCCATTTCTATATCATTTTCATTTCTATATAATTTTTATTTTTATCTATATACATTTTTTTTTTTTTTTGGTTTTTTTCCAGTACCAGGAATTGAACTCACGACCTTGCACTTGCCAGGCAGGCACTGTGCCGCTGAGCTAAATCCCCAGCCCCTTCTATATAATTTTTAAATCAGCTTTGTGTTTTTAAAACACCGATGAAATTCTGACTGGAACTGTAGCTCAATTTAGGGAAATTTGACACATCAATAATTGAGTAATCCTATCCTTGAACATGGTATACATTAAAGTATGTTA